AGCTGTTACTCTGAAACCCCTTTTGGTTAGTTCGTTGGCAGACAGGGCAATTACTAACTATTCTCTGGGCTTCCATGTGCATGCCCAGCCCCTTAAGGGATCGGGTGGCCAAATCAACCATTGCCCCTGACCCCATATGTCCTTCTTTATGCATGTGCCGGAGAATTTCCTGAAGTACTGGCCGGGGGACAAAAATCTTCCCCCCCGCCCCCCCCCCGGTAATTTCCACCATCCCGGGGGAACCTGCCGGGCCCCCACAGCCTGCGCGTGGCACGCCTCCTCAGCTGTATATCAGGGAGGAGGGTTTTTAGCTTCTGTATCTTGAACCAAAAGGAGCCATGAGGCCCCTTCCCGTGCAGCCTCCTTTGCGGCCTGATCGGCCAATTGATTATATCTACGTTGTTCAGCCTCCGGGGGCCCTTCCATGGGCACGCACATGTATTACGGCAACCCGGAGGGGAAGCATCAAAGCCTGCAGGAGTGTTTTGATGAGACTCCCATGTGCAATTCTTTGGCCTGACGCTGTGATAAATCCCCTCTCTCTCCACAGGGCCCCGTGAGCATGTACCACCATATAGGCATAGCGGCTATCAGTATACAGGTTAATCGTTTTTCCAGTTCCCAACCGGAGAGCCTCGATAAGAGCCACTAGCTCCGCCGCTTGGGCGGACAAATTGGGGCTGAGTTTAAACTTGTATATTCCTTTGTCCTTAATTACTACTGCTGCTCCGGTAAACCGCTTGCCATCTATCACATAGCTGGACCCGTCAACGTACCCTTCAATTTCAGGGTTGGACCACGGCAAGTCTGAGAGATCAGGGTGGGGTTTGGTTTCCTGTTGCAAGACCTCAATACAGTCATGAGTGGGGCTGGTCTCATGGGAAACCTGAGGGTCTGGCAATAGGGTAGCTGGGTTTATGGAGCTAACTGTCCTAAAGGTTAGGTCCGGGGCTAGCAAGAGCCCTACTTCATATCTGGTATGTCGACTGGGATTTAAATGCTTTTCCCCAGCGCCTGTCCCCAGTATTTGGCACCCCGTGGGGAACCACAACCTCAGTGTCCCCTCCCAGGGTCAGTTTTTCAGCCTCCTGTACAAGGAGAGCGGTTGCTGCAATGGCCCGTAAACAGGCAGGCCACCCCTTAGCGACAGGGTCCAACACCTTTTGAGTAGTATCCAATGGGTCGCCAGGTTGGTCCCGACCTTTGGCACAGAACTCCAGCGGCCACCCCTCCCCTCTCATGAACGTGTAGAGTGAACTGCCTCCGAGGGTCTGGGAGGGCTAGAGCGGGAGGCTGAACCAAGGCTTCTTTTAGCTCTCGAAATGCTTTTTCCATCTCTTTGGTCAATGTCCAAAGGAGCAGACCTTCTTTAGTTAAGGATTCATATAATGGTTTGGCTCTTCCCCCGTAGTCAGGGATCCAGAGCCGACAAAACCCAGTCAATCCCAGGAAAGCCCTTAACTCTCGGGGGCTCAGAGGTCGAGGGTTATTGAGTATAACCTGGATTCTTTCTTTACCTAGACTACGACTTCCCTGACACAAATGATACCCAAGAAAAGTGACCTGTCGCCTAACCAGTTGTGCTTTTTCCTTTGAAACCTTATACCCCTGTGTCCCAAGGTAATTAAGGAGCTTTACAGTCTGCTCTTTACAGGCTGCCTCTGTTCCACTACTTAAGAGCAAATCATCGCAATACTGGACTATGTTACATGAGGGGTGTCCAGCCAGGAATGGGGCAGGTCCCTTCTTAACTCGCTGCCAAAAATCTCGGGTGCACAGGTAAGTCCTTGTGGGACCACGGTCCAGAGGTATTGGGCCTTGTAGTGAGTATCTGGGTCCTCCCACTCGAAGGCAAACAGTTTCTGAGATTCCAAATCAAGGGGGATGGAAAAGAAGGTATCTTTTAAGTCTACTACAGAGTACCAACTGTGCTCTTTGGGAACTTGGCCCAAAATAGTATGGGGGTTCGGGACGACTGGATAGGGAGCCTCTATTAGCTTGTTAACCTGTCTCAGGTCCTGGACCAACCGATACTGCCCATTAGGCTTAGGCACTCCCATTATCGGAGTGTTGTATGGGGACGTGCCTTCCCTG